GAGGGGGGGCTTGGCGGGCGGCGGCGCGGCCGTGGTGAGGTCGGTGCGGTTGTAGTCCATGCAGAGCGTGTCGGGGCTGCCCTGCTCCGGCAACCGGTCGCAGCGCATCCTGTCCGGCCAGGCGAAGCCGTACTGGCGCATGAGCGGCGCGCAGCCCGCCTTGGCCCGTTCGCAGACGCTGCGGCAGGGCGGCAGCGGCTTCTTGTAGTCCTCCAGGCAGATGGGGGTGTACATGCTGCAGAGGAAGAAGCGCAGGTCGCTGGAGCACTGGATCTCCACCAGCGGCCAGAACTGGTGCACCTCCAGCCCGGCCTCGTCCTGCGTGTCGTGGTTGAACTGGTTGGGCATGTAGGTGTAGTTATAGCCGATGCCCTTGCAGAGCGGCACGGTGATCTCCTGGCACGACAGCTCCTTAGCCGACGACGACGACGAAGAGGACGACGACGAGGCGGCAGCGGCTGAGGCGGCGGCACAGCCGGCGCGCTGCAGCAGGGCCAGGGCGGCGAGCAGCGGGGTGACGGCCAACAGGTAGCTCCACTCCATGCTGGGCGCCGGCGGCCGCGGGCCCGGCCGCCTCCCCTCCTCCCGTCCCGCTCCGCGGCCCCGGCAGGTGAGGGGGCGGCCCCGCGGGCGCTGTGCCCGGCGGAGGAGGGGGGGGGAGAGGGTTTGCTCCGCTCAGGAGAGGCCGCTCAGCCGGCCTCGCATGTCTCCGGGCTGCGGGAGAGCTCTTGTGGCCGCGAAGAGAAGTTTCGCTCCCAGCCCCCGCCCGGCGCGCTCAATATGGCCGAGGCGGCCCCGGGACGAGGCGCTGCGCCCCGCGGCGCCGCGCTCCCGCCGCCCCGAGCAGCGGCGGAGCCGGTGCAGCGGCCGCCGGAGCGGACCGTCCCGCCGCCTGCACGAATGCCGCGCTTCGCAGACGGCCGCCAGCCGGGCCGGGCAGCCGCTCGCTCCGCTCCGGTTCCAGCCGCGGGCGTACCAGTCGCGATCACGCCACCTGAGCCGCGGGGTTGAGCGCGGCAGCGCCTCCGCGCAACTTCTCGCTCCTCAGCCCCGGCAGCGCCAGTCCGGCCGCCGCGCTCTCATGAATATTTATAGCGAACGGTCCGGGCCCCGCCCCCGCCGCCCTGGCCGCCAATCGCTCCAGTCTGGGCGGTGAGAGCGGAATCGACCCCGGCCCGCCTTAAGGTGGAGCGGCCGGTGGGTCCCGGTGCGTTGTGCCCTGTACGGCCTTTCCGCTGCGGGAGCGTTGTGCTTTTTGCGGGCCGTCTCCCTGAGTGGCAAAGCGCGGTTCTGCTCCTTGAGCTGCTTCTGCGCGCCGCGCGCTTTGCTCCGCGGGAGATCTCGGTGGAGCCGGGGTTCGGCAGCACGGGGCTCTGAGGGGATGGCCGTAGTCTGACCTCCGCGCTCCGTACGTGCCCCCGGCCGGGCTCAGCGCGCACGAGTTCTCTGCGCGCGGCTCTGCTGAAGGGCAGCGTTGTGGGGGTAAGAGGGAGAAGTACGCGGCGGTAACACGGGGGTGTCTGAAATGCGGAGTTTCAAACATAAGTGCGCTGCCGCGCCTTCGCTGACATGCCACCGAGCCGTTGTGCTGTAGACTCGCTCCCGCAGCAGCGCCACACGCGCGCACCGTCGCGTCCCGGCAGGTGAACGGCCGCCGGCTGCCAGCCCTGCGGCTGCCACAGCGCTCCCGCACGGCTCGTGCGGCACCGGGGGCAGCAGCTCCCGGCCGCTGGTGCTCAGGCGGGTGAGCGCCGTGCGGGGCCGATAGCCGCCCCCCTCCTGCTGCGCCCGGGCTGAGGGGCCGGCCCCGAGGGAGATAGCCGTCTCCTCTACTTCCCTCCCCCCCCCCCCCCCCCCATCCTTCTCCGCGCCGTGGCATCGCTGCCCTCCGGACCACCTTAAGGGCCGGTGCGCGGCGGGGCCGTCCCGGGGGGTTGCCGTCCGCCCAGGCCGGGGCGTTTGTTTGTTAATTGCGGCGCTGTTGCGCTTCGCGCTCGCGTGGAGCTCCCGCTGCGGCCGTAATGACTGTGAGCGCGGGAACGCGCCGCGTTGGGGCCGGAGGTGCGGGGCGGGAGGGATAGTGGTGCCCGAAGTTTGCTGCCTCTGCCGGCGGGATCCTTCGCCGCCCCTTTCACCTCCCTATGTAAATGGACGCGCAGATCTCCCGGCGAGGAGGAAATGGGCAATAACGAAGCGATAAACGCGTTCACTGTGTAATCATTGCGGCAATTTGCAGAACTGTTCTCTTCGCCCCCAGCCCACCTGAGGGGAGCGACGGCGCTCGGACGTGACACGGAACTGCTGAGGACGTGGCAGCGCGCTCCTGTGTTTGGCAGTTCCAGGCTGTGAAATCAATCGTATACATTTATTTCTCCCAGAGCAGCGCGCGGTTCCCTGAGCGCTCAGTTAAAACGGCCGGTTCCCTGCTGTGAGGTGTTGGGAGACCGAACGGCGTCCAGCGAGTGGAAAACCTGTCCTGTGCTGTGCTTGGGACACGGAGAGCGGCGGGCAGGACTGCGCTGTGAGCCGTGCTTCAATTCAAGAGCTCTGCAGAACGGAACCAGCCTGGTCAGCAGAGCCGGGCGAGCCAGTAAATTACCTCTGTCAGGCTCCTATTGCCTCTTACAAAGTACCTTTTTATGCTGAACTTAAGCTCTGCACTAGAGACAGCAGATGTGAGGTGATGCTTTCCAAAAGCAACACAGATGCTGTGCAGTTTCCATCGTAATATTTCAGCAAGGAAGCTCAGGAGACACGCCGAATGCTGCAGTTTAGAATTACACTGTAACTCTCCCAGAAATAAGAGAATACCCAAGTTTCTCAATCGCTCACTTGGCTTCAGTTTTGCTGTCGTTCATATATGCTCTTGTTTTCTTGCAGTGGGAGAAGAGATGTGGCACGAAGATGCTGAGTCTTGAAGCTGTTCAGTAACAAAGCTGGAACTATGAAACTTTGTAGCAGTTTAGTAATGATGACATACCCAAATTTCCTTGCAAAACCGTAATAATTTCTCAAAATTGTCTTTCAGATATATAAAACAACGCAGCCGGGGGGAAGGCGCTCTGCTTTCTGTGACTGAAAAGCAGCCTGGATAGCTTACAGCTGTGGAATCACAGCCGTTGTGTGCTCCTCCAGTACTGAGGCTTCACTGAAGTCACTGGAAGCACTGAGATGAAGGAACCAGGGGTCAAGTCTTAAAAATGGGTTGTGTGTTTTTCCAGAAAATACAGCAGCTGCTTTTTCTGAAAAACTGTGCTTTGCCATAGCCATACAGATTGCTTTAGAATACTTTGTAGTGGTTTCCAAACAAATGTCCAGTCATCAGACCATGCTGAAATAGAAAACAGGCAGATGAAGGCAAAAATGCTGCAACTCTTTGGAAACCTGTAGATTTGGCAACAAGTAGTTAATGTTTGGGCAAGTCTTTGTTGCCACAAATGTTCGTGCTGCTTTAGTTCAAACATTTCAGTTATTGTTTGTCATTGGCTTCTCTAAGCCTAATTTTTGTCTACTTCTAAGGCTTTGCTCATTTGATTGTATGGATCAGATCGATCCAGGGAATGGCAACTTCAGAGCTTTTAGTTTGAAAGGTTGTAAAATTGGCTCTTCATTTTTATTTATTTATTTATTTTTCTTGAAGGTAAAATACCATATGAAATGTTTATATGGCACTTTGCTTGTTAAAAAATACAGATCATTAGTTCATGATGAAAAAATTGCATTTTAATTTCTACCTGATGTTCCCCAGTAAGTTGTGGTGAGTCATTTGTCTGTGTTGGATAGGTCAGTGAATGGTGCTTTTATAAAAAAAAAAATGTTTGAAAGGGACATTTTACTCAATGGAAATTGTACAAATAATCAAATAATCTTGTTAGAATGAAGCCTTGACTCAAGGTAGACCTGCCCATGCAGGGAATTGGTACTGGGTGATCTCTAAGGTCCCTCCCAACCCCAGCTATAATGTGATTCTAGGATTCTGAGGCAAATTTCATGGGTTAAATCAAGAAAGGACTGTCTAAGCTGATCTCCTTCCTGTCACAGGCCACAAAGCTTCATCCAGAGACTATTTCTGCAAACAGTGATTACCTACAGGACATGGTATTTTGTATGGGCTGCATGTTGAACAACACCATGAAATGAGAAAGTAGAACTTTGTGAGGGCAGAGTAAAGAGCAAGTAGAGGAAAGAATATCTTTGCAGATAGGTGCAGTAGTGTAAGATGGAGTTGTGGCATCATGCTATGTTCAGTTTTTCCCTAAGAAGTACCACCTCTTTTTCCAGTTCAGACTTATTTCCCACGTGCCATGTGTGGTTCCAAACTGAGCAGTGTGATGAGCAGTCCGAGTATGGAAAGGAATGCATTGATATGTACTTCTGGAAGTCAGCAAAGCAGAAATTATGAGTAAATACCCAGCTCTGTAAACTTGCAAAACAAACAAACAAACAAACAAACAAAAAAACAGGGACTGAAGAGTACAAGTATGCACATATATCCTATGTTTTTATAGGTATTTTTCTTTTCACATAGGAATTAAATAGCACTGACACACCTTCTGAGACACCCTATTTTTTATTGTGATTCTCGAGAACTCTTTGTAGACAAGAAGAATGTTTTGTTTATAACTTTTCAGGGTTGTCAAATCTGATTGCAAATGGGCCCACTACATGATGGTCATACAGGAGAGAGACTTCAGGGTAAAAGAAAGTACACTGTGCACGATCTGCTGTGTTTGCTACTTCTAAGGTGCAGTGAGGAGGCGAAAGGGAAGGAGGAGAAACTGCTGGAAGATTGCTTTGCTGTCCCTTTACCACAAAGGAGGATGACAAAGTGATTGATCAGTGCTGTGTTCTGAGGATTGCTCCAGCAGTGCAGCAGTGAAGCTGCAGGTTGTGGCTGGAGGATTTTCTGCAGAACAGAAGTGTAGACCTTGATTAGACTCCTTCCTGAGGCTGCTTTGGATGTGTTGGCTTAGCAAGAAGCAGCATGAAAAGCAGAATCAGCATAGGAAGTTAGTGGCAGCAGTGGTTTAGCATGAGGACAACATAACGTCAAGGTGTATCAAAAGGTTTTCCTTCGTTCCCTCAAACCGTGCAGTCAGGGATTGGGCTGCAATGTCCATGCAATCGTATTATGCCTCATTTCCCTTTGGTGAACCAACGGAGGAGGGAGGAATGCAAGAAAGATGGTTTGTGAGGATTATGAATGAAAATAAATGCTCTGAGGGCAATCCTTTTTTATTTATTTTGTTTTCATAGTATTAGTTTTCAGTTTTGCCTGTTATTTACCAAGCTTTACTTACTTTCCACCTGTGCTACAGGTTGTTATACCTTGTGGTGTGATGTGACTTTTAAAGATACTCTTTTAGTTTTCCTGCATTAAAGTCGTTGGTTTTTTTTTAATTTATTTTATTTTTACCTTATATGGAGAATAATAAAAATATTGTGCAGTTCAGCGTCTACACTTGAGGAATGTATGGATGTAATGAGTAGTGATGTCTTTCTCTGACTGCCCAGATAACCAACCACTTACTTTCAAGCAACTG